GGAGAGCCCCCAGCCCCGCACTGAGGCCCTGCCTGGGGACACTGAACCTGATCTTGGGGTGCTGAGACCCACTGACTGTGAACCCACGTCCCCTGATCCCACACCCGGTAACGGCCCCGGGGCTGGTCCTAATAAACCATTTCAAGCCTGACCCTGTGCTGGGAGGTGTTTGGGGACCCCATGGCCATGTCCTCTCACACACACATACACACATGAGTCTGGCTGTGTCCCAGTCCCTGGGGGATCTCCACCTTAGGATGAGGGGGTCCCTGATCACCCCACCAGCACCCCAGGTCCTATCTTGGAGCTTCTCCATCCTCCCACAGCCACTGCCAGTCCCATTGACACCCTGGGGGCTGCCACCATGTCTAAGGTCTTCAATGATGCCTCCAGGCACCCAAATCCCCCCAGGCAGAAGCCACCAGCTCCAGCTGCGGGGCCTGGGGCCGTGCCACCATGCACGGTGGCCACATCTCCCAGTACCACAAGGTACCACCAGGGAGACATGGCTTCCAGACAAGGTCACGGAGGCCCCAGCCTGTGGTGGCATCCACCTGGTCCCAAAAGAGCAGCTTTATTGGAGAGAGAACCTCCTTTTACTGGGGAGGAGGAAGGGGGGCACCAGATCACCCCAAGCCCTGCACCAGGCTGTGGTGGTCACATCACCCACTTTGTGCATCTCCTGGGAATGTCTCCTCTGCCACCGCTGTCCCCGCTGGCACCGGATGGCCAAGGCCTGTGTGAGCAGAGCCCCAGCTGTGGCAGATGCACCAGTGCCAGCATGGCCAGCAGGAACCTGGGCACCATGCGGCACCACGCTGGGGACAGCACCAGACCTAACGGGTCAGAGGATGCTTCAGGGTAGTGGGTTTGGGGCCATGGGGCTGGAGGTGTCCACTCACCTTCACACCATGGCACCTTCTCCTTCTGCACCAGCAATGGTCCAAGAGTCTCCCGATGGAGTGTCCCCTCTCCTGGGAGCCCTGGGGCAGGATGTGGACAATACAGCCTGTGAGGACCCCTGAGGACCCCAAAGCCACCACGTCCTAGCCCGGTACCCAGCAGCTCTCTGGGAGGGTGTCACAGCAGTGGCCCAGGGCACTCCGGGAAGAAGCTGGGTGCTGGGACAGGGACTCCAGCAGGAGGATGTCCCATCCACGCTGCAGAGCTGCTGCTCCCCACCCCGGGGCTCGCTGCTGGCCGCTCTGTGGCCTCACAGGGTCACAGGGATGCAGTTTGGTCACAGCCAGGGCGGAGCTCAGATGTCCCCACATCACAGCCCCTGGCTTCGGCACAGAGACGTGCATGGGGGCATCATCTCTGCAGCCACCTCCTGCCTTGGAACCACCTTTTCCATCCCCTTATCTGTAGAGACAATTGGTGGCTGAGCTGGGATTCGTCACCTGCTCCCAGCAGGAGAGCTCAGCATGCCATGGGAGGTGCCCCAAGCTCTGTGTCCCCCGTACCCATGGGCAGCACCATGCATGGCTGAGGTGGTGGCCCCAGACTGGCTCTTAGGGCGTGTGTCCACCCCACTACTGATGATGCTTTACTGGAGAAGTCCCAGAGTGAGTTCTGGGGCCACCCTCCAGCAGCAGAGCTGGGACCGGATGGCACAAGTGGGTTGTGTCACCCGTGGTGGCCGTCCCATGGGTCTGGTGTCACTGCAAGGCCAGCAGAACTGCCCACCATGGGAGTCCCACTCCTGGCTCTGCAGGGACAGTGGGATGGATCTGTGGTCGTTGGCTTCCCGCTGGAGAAGCAGGAGAGGGATGGAGGTAACTGGGCCACCCTTGGGTTAAAAACTGCCCAATACACCATTATCTTACAAAAGTAGAAGGGCTTATTTATTTGTGGTCTTTCCAAAGGGAGCAGAACACGGGCTGGGGAATCTTCGCTGCTGGGAAGCCTTAGCCACGGGTGCCACCTCTGTGCCCTGCCAGGAGATGGCATTGCCGGTGTCATCCAGCCCAGGGACACCCCAGCTTTGTCCCCACGCAGGGAGGATGGAGCCTGTCCTCAGCATCCCCCCTGTGCCCAGGGGATGGCATCACTGGGATGGTGGCCACGAGACCCCATTCCCCACCTCCTTCCCACACCAGTTCTCACTGGACCCCGTCGGCCTTCTGGGATGTCCCATGTACAGACCAGGGCCACAGGGCCCTCTAACCAGGACAATGTGGGGGGTGGGAGGGGACCTGCTCTTTGCCATGGGGACCATGAGCCTACTGATAAATGGGCTTGTGGGGTGGGTTTTCCATTCTCCAAGCGGCTCCACATCACAGCCTGATGTGGACCATGGCTGTGGGTGGGCTGAGAACGTGCTGCACTCATCACCGTATGGGCCAGAACCCCTGGAGGGGTGCAGCAGTCCCCAGCACGCAGCCCCAGGAGCTCAAGAGAAACAGGGTGATTTGAGGAGGCCCTCGAGGTTTGGGTTCCCTGATGGCCTGATGGCAGCTGTGCCCACCCCGGATGAGGCGGCCACCCTGCCCCTGCTGCCTCCAGCCACGCGGTGATGGATGTGCTGCTCCCACCATGACACATCCTTCATGAACATCTCCTCCAGCCTTTCCATGGAGAAGGAAGAAGTGGATCCTGCTGGGAAAAACCACCCCAAGCCCCCAGTCTTTGATGCTCTTGGAGGCTGAGGCAGAGGCACCAGCGGGTGCCCCAAGCTGGGGCTCTGCAGGAAGCTGATGGAGGGTCCCCCCGACTGTTCCTGCGTGCTGGGGCCTCCAGTGGGTTCTGGTCATGTCCAACCAACAGACACCATGAGTAAGAAAAAGGAAAGCACCTGGTTCCTCCCCGGGGAGAGTGGGACCCCCACCACCCCCTACCACCTGAGGAAGTCCCTCACGCGGCTCCATAGCTTGGTGATCCAGAGGTTGACCCCCAGGTCGGTCAGGTACTGGATTTCGGGCGTCAGCATCTTGCGGCACAGCTTCTGGTGCTTCTTGTTGATCTTCTTCTTCAAGTTGTAGCCCAGGATGGACTTCTCTCCCAGCGGCTGGCCGGGGACTCTTGGATGGCACTGGCATCCACAGGGTGTCCCCCATCGATGCAAATGCTCTTCATCTTCTCATTCTCCCGCTGCAGCTCGGCCACATCCTTGGCCATCCGCTCCCTCCCATAGGCCTCCACCTTACGCCAGAAGGTGGCATTAAAATAGCGGTAGAGCTTGGAGTCGATGAGGTTCCAGGAGGTGGCTTTCTCGTAGAGCTCAGGTGTCAGCCGGGACACCGTGGAGGCCCCTTCGGGGGTGAGGTTGTTTTTTTTTTCTGCCAGCACAGCAGCTCCTTCAGCAGCACCAGCGACTCGTCAAAGTACTCGAGCAACATGACGAGGTGGAAGCGCTGATCTATCTCCTGGATGTGCTCCTCCACCAGCGGGCTGTTGGCGTTCATGTTGTTGTCATAGCCCAAGTCGAAGAAGAGGAGGTTTTGGAGGTAGTGAGCGTTGAACCCATTGGGGTCATAGTAGTGCCAC